TACTCTCCAAATAAAGCATAGTTCAACCATAATAATCACATCTCTACGTAGTCAAAAAGTGAAGGGACATCAAAAGTGTTGAACAGAGGATGTTGGAGTCCACTAGGAACCAGCTAAGAACGTAGTCAAAAAGTGAAGGGACATGAAAAGTGTTGAACAGAGGATGTTGGAGCCCACTAGGAACCAGCTAAGAAAGTGTGTGGAAATTCAATACACTCTGCATCATAGCATATGCATTTTTGCTGTCTAATTCGTCTTTCATACTTGACAAATAGTTTAAACATTATATTGTTCTCTATTCTCTGTTCCACCCAAGAAGCTCCGGTGTTCTTCTCTGTTGCAAAAAGTCCGATTGGGTATGTGGTAAGGTCTTTTCTCCATTTCAATTTTGCCTCAATAGAAATATTAAATGATAAAATGATAAATAGGTTATGGAGTTCAAAACATGAGTGGTTTTGTGGTTGACATATATAAAATATTTGGTGAGACAACAACTTTTCATTGAAGTGTTTAAAGCCATTCATCTATATTCTTTGAATTTTTCACCAAGCTCGCTTTGGATGTTGCAACTCTTTTTGTTAAGCTGACACTGGTTCTAAGGGCACGAGCTTCAAAAGTGGGTCAGATTGCCCATCTAAATTTCCCTTTTTAATCTAAGGTAAGTGTACTTTCACTTAATACGTTTGTGAATTTTAAATTAGAAATTGGTTTAGCTTATTTAATAAGATGAGGTGTTAAGCATGTTTTGACAGGTAGCAAGAACATAATGGTTATAACACATATTTCAGGTTTTATATCCAGGCCAATCAATATATGCTTTGTTACAAATTGAGTTGTATATGAATTATTAGTGTTTCTTCTATTTCGGAAGTTTTGGTTTATAAGGTCATAACTAGGTTATGCAGCAGAAAACCAAGCACCACTTGACCTATATAAAAGATGAAATATAAAAGATTCAACTTTCAATATCATATTAAATTCCATGTTAATCTATACCGGTTTGTATTTAAGGTTGAGAGTATATTTTAAACAATCGGATTATTGAGTATATTTTACGTCATGTCAATTAGTTCATTAATAAATGTCAAAGAAATAACAATTTGAATCTAAAATTTAGAACTTATTTTCTAATTACGTTGCTATTCACACTACAAGAAAACGGTGAATAAGCGGCGAAAAATAAGCGTCGACTAATAACTAACACAAATAGTGTTGGAAAAGCCGACGCTATTTTAAGATTTAGCGTCGGCTTTTCCGACGTTAAACTTAAAATAAATTTAAACTAAATATTTTAAGTTTAGTGTCGGAAAAACCGACGCTATATTTAAAGAATAGCGTCAGCTTTTCCGACGCTAAACTTAAAATATTTAATTTAAATTTATTTTAAGTTTAGCGTCGGAAAAGCCGATGCTATCCTTTAAATATAGCATCGGCTTTACCGACACTGATTTAATTTAAATTTAAATTAAGTTAGTGTCGGAAAAGCCGACGCTATATTTAAAGAATAGCGTCGGCTTTTCCGATGCTAAACTTAAAATTAAATTAAATTAAATTTATTTTAAGTTTAGCGTCGGAAAAGCCGACGCTATATTTAAATAATATACGTGCTTTCAGAGAGATAAAAATAATTTTTTCAGTGTTATATACGCATAATGTGTTCTAGTATACTTGGTTATCAAGTTCACTTAAGACCTAAAGGTTCACGGATCGAGTCCCAGGAATGTTAAAAATATGAACGAATAAATGATAAGCAAGAAAAAGAAGATAAAGAAAAAAATAAAATAAAACTTGTGTCAACATAGTGTCGGCTTAACCGACAATAAAAAATGAAAAAAAATAAATTTGTTAGTGACGGCTTAGCCGACACAAAAAAAATTGTGTCGACTTATTTAGCGTCGGCCAAAAACCGACGAATAACCAACAATATTACGTCGGCTTTTATAGCCGACTCTAAATTAAAACATTCTTGTAATGTCACTTAATCTGAATTTTTAAATTTATCATTATTTCATGTTTCTAAGTTTTTTCTTACATTTACTTGTTTACTAAACTTTTGTTATGCTCAAATGTACTTTCAGCCTTTTCAACCCAAAAGAATCCGCAAATAAAGTTAAATAAAATTATCAAGGATCACAAAACCGCTAAAAAGTACCCTTGCAACTTGGTAAACATTAATAGTTATTCTTCTTTAGTTTTAACTTTTTATCTCATATTAGAAAAATCTATAAATTATGAATAATAAATAATGAGACAAATGTCAAGAACATATTGAAACATAATTTTTTTTTTCATTTCTTGAAAAGTATCGTTCTGGCGTTGCAGGTACAGTACTTGGATTTCATAATGGATGAGCAACAAAGGATCAGCGTTGTTGGTTCTTCCTCCAACTCTTGTTCCAAAAATCATGATGTTTTTCTAAGCTTTCGAGGTGAAGACACCCGTTGGAACTTCACAAGCCATCTATATGAAGCTTTGAATAAAGAGAAAGTCAAAACTTATATAGACGACCAACTTGAAAAGGGAGATGAAATCTCACCAGCACTCACCAAAGCTATCAAAGATTCTCGTGTATCTATTGTCATATTCTCAAAGAACTATGCTTCCTCAAAGTGGTGTTTGGGTGAACTCAGTCAGATTCTGGAGTGTAGAGAAGAAAGTGGACAAATTGTGATCCCTGTGTTCTACATGGTAGATCCATCCGATGTGAGGAAACAAACCGGAAGTTACGAGCAAGCCTTTGTAAAACATGAGGGAGATCGCAGGTGCAACCAATGGAAAGCTGACCTAACTAAAGCTGCCAATTTAGCTGGGTATCACTCTGAAAATTACAGGTAAATAAAATGGACTGAGAGTTATTAAATTTTCTTAAAATTAAAAATGAGAAAGGCAATATGCTATGACTAAACCTGAATTCCTTTAGAATTTGTTTAACTTATAACGTATCATTTATTTCTTTGTTGTTTCATACGCTAGGACGGAACCTGAATTCCTTAAGAACATTGTTGAAAATTTATTGCAAATTTTGACTCCTAGACACCCAAACCAACTTAAAGGACTAGTTGGAATTGAGGAAAGTTATGTGAGGATTAAATCATTACTAAAACTTGGGTCAAGTGAAGTTATAACCCTTGGAATATGGGGTATGGGTGGCATAGGTAAGACCACCCTTGCTACTGCTTTATATGACAAACTATTTGATGAGTTTGAAGGTCATTGCTTTCTCACAAATGTAGGGGAAAATTCCCACAAGCTAATAGCTTTACGTGAAGAACTTTTTTCTAAGTTGTTACAGAAGAAAGATCGTGATTTTACACCATTGGACATAAGTAGGCTTCGATGTAAAAAAGTTTTGATTGTGTTGGATGATGTGACTACCTTAGAGCAATTTGAAAAACTAATCAAAGAATATGATTTCTTGGGTCCAGGAAGTAGAGTTATTGTTACAACTAGAGATAAGCATATATTTGGCCCAAATGATAAAATATATTCAGTCCAAGATTTAAATTTTCCTCACTCTTTACAACTTTTTTGTTTGACTGTTTTTGACGAAAAAGTACCTAAAGATGAATATGAAGAACTGTCAAGAAGGGTGATTTCCTATTGCAAAGGTGTTCCTTTGGCTATAAAAATTTTAGGTGCAAATCTTCGTTTAAGAAGTAAAGAAGCATGGGAATGTGAATTGAGAAAACTTCAAAGGATTCCAAATATGGAAATTCTCAGTATTAAAATTAAGTTATGATGGCTTAGATGATACTCAAAAGGACATATTTCTAGACATTGCATGCTTCTTCAAACAGCACTCAAGAGGTTTTGTAACAAGTGTACTGGAAGCTTTTGATTTCTATCCAGAATCTGGTATAGAAGTCCTTCTAGATAAATCCCTCATAACAATTTCAGAGTACAATGAGATTGAAATGCATGATCTAATATGGGAAATGGGTTGGGGAATTGTTCAACATGAATCTATCAAAGAGATTGGAAGACGAAGTCGATTGTGGAAACATGAGGAAGTGCTTTATGTGTTGAAATATAACAAGGTAAATGAGAGGTGCAATTATTTCTATTTGATGATAGATTTCTCTTTTTTGAAAATAACTAGTACGACATTCTTTGCTAATTATTGTAATTTCCATTTGTTAGGGAACTGACGTTGTTGAAGGCTTAATTTTAGATTCTTCTAAATTAACTAGGGATCTAAATGTGAGTTTCAGTTCCCTTGCAAAGATGACTAACTTGAGATTTCTTCAAATATATCGAGAATGGAATTTCAACTGCTACTATAATGTGTACCTTAAAAATGATCTCAATGAATCATTTAACCAATTGAGGTATCTTCACTGGGATCATTATAATCTTCAGTATTTGCCATCTAGCTTTGGTGTTGAACAACTTGTAGTGCTTCACATGTGTTATAGCAACCTCAAAAAGCTTTGGAATGGGGTTCAGGTAAGAATGTCTCTTTATGTACTAAGTGGTAACTTTTCTTGTTTTGGCTAGAGTGCTTCTATGTACGATTAGGTTTCTCTTTCAATTTTTGCTTGTGATTATTAATTTAACAATTCCTAAACAATGTTATGCATATTTTTTTTCGTTACAGAATCTTGTGAATTTAAAGGAAATTAACCTTTCGTTCTCAAAATACTTGATTGAAATACCAGACTTATCTATGGCACAAAAACTTGAAAAAGTATATCTTAGCTGGTGCACAAGCTTACATCAGCTTCATCCATCCATTTTATGTCATCCCAAGCTTACATATTTGGATTTAAGCTACTGCAAAAAGATTGAAAGGCTTAACATTCATTCAAAATCTGAGAAAACTAAATCTCTACCAATGTTCATCTTTGAGGGAAATCTCAATAATGGTAGAGGAAATGATGGACCTAAATTTAGCTGGCTGCGAATTGATTGAAAGTTGTGACCTTCATTCAAAATCTCTAACCAAACTATATCTCAATGGTTATTCATCTCTCAAGGAAATCTCGGTGGCATCAGAGGAAATGATAAGTTTGGACTTATCTAGCACGGCTATACGTGCATTGTCATCATCAATGCTATCATGCCCCAAACTTGAAAATTTTGATTTAAGTGATGGCAAATTCATTGAAACGTTTAACCTTCATTCAAGATCTCTAAGAACACTTAATCTTGATGGTTGTTCATCTCTCAAGGAAATCTTGGTGGCATCAGAGAAAATGACAAGTTTGGACTTATCTAGGACAGCTATACATGCATTGTCATCATCGATGCTATCATGCTCCAAACTTGAAAATTTTGATTTAAGTGATTGCAAATTCATTGAAACGTTTAACCTTCATTCAGGATCTCTAAGAACACTTAATCTCAATGGTTGTTCATCTCTCAAGGAAATCTCGGTGGCATCAGAGAAAATGATAAGTTTGGACTTATCTGGCACAGCTATACATGCATTGTCATCATCGATGCTATCATGCCCCAAACTTGAAATTTTTGATTTAAGTGATTGCAAATTCATTGAAAGGTTTAACCTGCATTCAAGATCTCTACGAACACTTAATCTCAATGGTTGTTCATCTCTCAAGGAAATCACGGTGGCATCAGAGAAAATGACAAGTTTGAACTTATCTGGCACGGCTATATGTGCATTGTCATCATCGATGCTATCATGCCCCAAACTTGAAATTTTTGATGTAAGTGATTGCAAATTTATTGAAAGCTTTAACCTTCCTTTAAGATCTCTAAGAATACTTTATCTGGATGGATGTTCATCTCTCAAGGAAATCTCAGTAACGGCAGGGGAAATGATGGGAATATTTTTATCTGGCTGCAAATTGATTGAAAGCCTTAACCTTCATTCAAAATCTCTCAAAGAACTTCATCTCGGTGGTTTTTCATTTGTGGAGGAAATCTCAGTGGCATCAGAGAAAATAACAAAATTGAAGTTTTCTAGTGCCACTATACCTTCATTGTCGTTATCAATTGGTCACCCATTGTCCTTAGAAGTGTTAGACCTATCTGGAAGTAATATTGAGAGCTTTCCTGCAAACATCAAAAACCTTTCAATGCTGAAAGAGCTTAGTTTAAGAGGCTGCAGGGAACTCGTGTCTCTGCCGGAGCTTCCACCATCCTTGAGAAAGCTTTGTTTAAGAGACTGCAGGAAACTCATGTCTTTGCCGGAGGAGCTTCCACCATCCTTGATAGTGCTTGAGCTAGATTACTGCAAACTCATGTCTTTGCCGGAGGAGCTTCCACCTAACCTGGATATATATACATTGGAATTCGGTGGAGTATTCAAAACCGCAGGAAAGATTCCGATGTTACGCGGGTTTACATTGAACAAGAGGAGGACTAGCTCATAAATGATAAACTTCCTCAGATGAATTCGTTGGTATGAAACTCACCCACTCCTTCATCTTAATTAGATAAATAAGTTTCAAAATCTCAAGTCAAGAACTAGAAACATAATCTAAAAAAGTCCTTTTATAAGATATTTATAGAGTAACATATAGAATTTTTTGGAATATATATATGTAGTTGTGGATATTTAAGGAATACTTTACAAACTATTTATAACCATTTGACTAAGGTTGTGTTGGCAAAATTTTAATCATTACTAAATTTTAATCTTTTATAATATTTTTTTATATTTGTTAAAATATTATTATATATTTAATAAATATGTTATTTTATAATTTTTTTTTGAAAAATGTCATTAGATAGAGTAACATTTTTTATTTCAATATTATTCTTTCTAATTATTTTCAAAATCAAAGTCTCATAGCGAGTAAATTTTTTTTACATAAGTTATTTTGCAATATTTTTTTGAAAAATGTTATTATAATTACTTCTAAAATCAAAGTCCCACATCAAGTAAAAAAAAATATATTTCTCTTATATCTAATTGTAACTCATAATTAAAGTCTCACATCGAATAGATTAATGACTCATATAGAGTATATATACTCATATAGTTATATTCTAAGATAAATGAAATTTGATATTCTATATATAATTAGTGATGACTAACTAAAAATGTCTTTCCCTGAAACTCTTAAAAGTTAATTAGGAGACATAAAAATATAATAATTGATAGTAATATTTAAATTAAAATTAATTATTATTTTTATAAAATTAAAAAAATCTTGACAACATCATTAGAATGTTACAAAAATACTACTTTAATAACATTTAAAAAATGTTACCTAATTATGCAAAAATATTATTAAAAGTCTTTAGTAATATAGACTATATACAACATTTGATAATATGTTGCGAAAATAGATTAGCAACATTTATACATAATTAAGTAACATTTTTTAAATGTTGTTATGTGTTATAGTAAATGGTTGATTTAGAAGGAACCACTCGTATAAATAGAGGATAATGTGTCCAACTTTATGTGAAGCCAAATCAAAAAGTTATCAATCATACACATAACCTCTTCCTCAGAAAAACTTTTAGCCTTTATTTCCAAATATTTCATACACTAATATAGTTTTATTCGGACAAAATGTTGATATATGGCGTTAACATTCTATGCTTAACATGTTGAGCAGGTTTTCTTTCGAATCACTTGTGGGGAAAATTCCTGGGAAATGGCCACTAGCTTGTTGGGAGAGTCAGAGCTGCACTTATAATGAGTTCTTATAGTAATGTTTTAACCATTCAAAAGATTAGTTTGATATTAATTTATTTTTAAAGAATTCTATATTTATATCTTTATCTTTATTTATAACAATATATAAAAAGATATATTTTTTTGTCCATTTTTATAAAATCAATTATATCCCTATTTTATATCTAATTTTTAATATACTGATATATATGTTAAGGATAAATAGGAAAAAACATGTATAAAAAACTATTCTTTTTACTGCAAAAAAACTAAAAATTGTTATTTTTTATTGCAAGAAAATTTTTGCTCATTTATTTTAAAATAACTATCTACTCTTCTTTTTTTCTTTTTACCAAGGAGACACTCGATGCCTTTTTTCTTGCCATTACATATAAAAATATTAATGTTTCAACATAACTGCTTTATTGTTATGAAAAGAAAGATAAAGTAAAAAGGATAAATAAGATCATATGAAATAGAAAAAAGAATTTGATTGGTGTATTATTTCTAGGAGACGATTAACCTATTAATAAGTATATATGATAGTTGAACAATTACACAAAAAGGGAATAATACATAATGAAAATATAAACGGTAATAATGTACATTAAATACACTACAAAAAGTATGGCATTTAGCAACTACCAAAATCAGTCGTTAAATTGTTAAAATCGGTCGATATTTACCTTAGCGACGAAAATAGCGACCAAATTTAAGTAGTCGCAAAAATCCTAGTCACAAAGCTAATAGTGACGGAATTTTTTTTTGAAATTTAGGTCGCAAAATGGTTGCAATGATTTTGGTCGTTGATGTGTATAGGGACCAAATTAGTGACCGAATAAATATGTCGCTAAATATTTATTTTTTATTTTATTAAATTTTTTAGACATCACAAATTTGGTCGCTATGAATCACTCATATTTGGCCTCTCAAGGATTCTATTTTACAATACTTCACTTTTCAGCATGTTTTGTCCTTAGTTACACAGTTTCTGGAAAACTTCCTAGAAGGTCACCCATCCCTATATTACTCAAAGTCAAGCACGTTTAACTGTGGAGTTCAGATAAGATAAGCTACTAAAAAGTAGATGCATGTTGTTAGTATAAATAGTACAAATTAATTCATTTAAGTCATCCTCAACTATACAATCTCATATTTATACTATCTTTAGATTCTTCTCATTTCGGTGTGTTAAGACCGTTATAAATATATAGTAATATATATAATAATTATATTACTAATAATAATTATTATTATATTTAATTAATCTTTATTTATATATATACTTACTTTTATAATTAACAATCTACTTATTTCTATTTAAAATTAATATTATGATACAATTTAAATTATTTATTATAAATTTAAAAGTTTAAATAATAATTTATATATTTTAAAATGAGAAGGGTTATAATAACTGGTATAACTTTTACTAAGTATTACACCGCTCAATAACTTTATATTAAAAATGAATTTTGTAAATCCAACCATTAGATTGAAAGTTGATATCACTTTATATGTTTATATCAAGTTTTGTTAAAATTGAACAACAACTTAAAGGTAATCATAATGCTCATATTTTAGTATATTTTGAAATGTATATATAATGTCAATTTTGTTTTACAAGAATGAAGTATCAAATCATCTTGAATTCATATAAATTTTGTATATGTAATCTAAGAGTAAACAACTTAATTCACATTTAATATAAATTTTTTAAACGATGTAATATTTAGTAAAAGTTACACCGGTGTTATTATAACCCTTCTCTTTTAAAATATTATTTTTATAAATTAAATTTTATCATTTTAAATAAATTATTAATTAACTTAATATATTTATCATCTTAAATCTAAGATATAAAATTCAAAAAATGTATTTATCCTTTTTTATTTTCTAATTATCAACCTTTAATAAAATACTTATTTAAAACCTTATCAAGTTATATCATAATATTATCACATTAAGTTTAAAACTAGATATTAGTTATACAAAAATATCAAAAATCATATAGTAAATTATTAATAAGATTCTAGTTAAATAATTTAAAATAATTAATTTTTCAACTATATTGTTTGCAAATAATTTATTTCAAAGCTAATCAAATATTTTATATATTAATTATTAGTAAAATTTAATAACTTTTAATTTAATAATTAGATCGATGAAATTCAACATATACCATGAGTTATTAAGCAGAATAACTTTACTAAGAGTTACTCTGTGAGTCATTTAATAACTTTTAATTTAATAATTAGATCGATGAAATTCAACATATACCATGAGTTATTAAGCAGAATAACTTTACTAAGAGTTACTCTGTGAGTCATTTAATAACTTTTAATTTAATAATTAGAACGATGGAAAGATCGATCTGCTGAATTGTTATCCAACCTCAAGTATAAAACCCTAAGAGACTTTAAGTGGTATAAGGATACTTTCCTCACTAGAGTTTTTACCAGGGAAGATAGCCAACAACCTTTCTGGAAAGAAAAATTCTTAGTCGGCCTTCCTAGGTCATTAGGAGACAAGGTTAGGGATAAAATTAGGAGTTTAACACCTGATAACATTATCCCTTATGACCACCTAAGCTATAGACAATTGGTTTCTTTTGTCCAGAAAACAGCCTTAGAAATTTGTCAAAATGACAAAATTCAAAGGCAATTGGCTAGGGAAAAGAACCAAAACATGAAGGATTTAGGAACCTTTTGTGAACAATTTGGGTTACCTGGGTGTTCCAAGAAGAAAACTAGGAAAGTTTCTAAGTATGAACAACCTAGTAATAGTCAATACAAACCCCGTTACAAACCACAGAGAAGGTTTAGAAAATCCAAAAGAGAATCAAAAGAAGAAGCCAAACCTCCTTCGGGAAATAAACTTATAATTTGCTACAATTGCAAAAGACCTGGTCATATCAGCAAATATTGCAGACTTAGGAAAACAATTAGTAACCTCAACCTTGAACCTGAATTAGAAGAACAAATCAACAATCTCCTGATTACTACTTCTGAAGAGGATTCTACAAATGGCTATTCTGATGAAGAAATTCAGAATATCCAGCAAGATGATGAAGTTTCATCATCAAACAGTTCTGAAACACCAACTATTAATGTCTTAACAAAAGAACAAGATCTTCTGTTTGAAGCTATTAATGTCATTACCGACCCAAAAGAAAAAAGAGTTTATTTGAATAAACTCAAACAAACTTTAGAAGAAAAACCCAAGAATCTAGTTATCACCAATAAGTTTGATCTTAACCCAATCCTCAAAAAACTAGAAAAAACCTCAACCAAACCAATTACTATCCAAGATCTTCAAGCTGAGATTAATAATCTCAAAAGAGAAATTAGGGATATTAAGGAACAACAGATCCTCCACCAAAATATTCTTTCCCAATTACATAATGGTTCTGACCATGAAGAGCCATCCTCTGAAAATGATTTGGAAAATAATGAAGTTGATTGGACTGACTTCTTAGGCCTTATAAATCGTCTAACAATTCAAAAGTTCTTCATCAATATCAGGATTGTTGTTGAAGATTTTGTCTCAGAAACAATAGCCCTTTTTGACACCGGGGCAGATTCAAATTATATCTTAGAAGGTCTTATCCCAACCAAATATATCCAAAGCCTCCATAGAAAATCAAGGACAGCAAATTGAAACTTCGTTCTTATTAGTCAAAGATCTTAGGAATGAAGTTATCTTAGGAACTCCTTTCATCAGAGCCTTATTTCCTTTAGAAAT